AATTTTCAACTTGTGATATTTCTGTCAGGCAGTACAGGTTTAGTGTGTGATAAGTGAGTATTATTTCTAAGGTCACCGGCTTCAGCAGTTCACCCTTGGTTGTAAGTTTTCTAGAGATCAGGGCATTGTCACAAGACCATGGTGGCTTTCTGTGTGGTCTGGGCTCCACTCTCCTTTCTGGGTCACTCTCCCCTCATCTCTTTCTGCTCCTGCTTGGCCCACTATAGGGGATACCTCAGGCCCCCCCATTTGCCTACATAAGCCTGCACATCCTTCATCTCTGCACAGGAGCAGCACATGTTCAGGGGGCTCCTCAGCTCTCTCTTGCCAACATCCTCCCACTTGCCATCATGAGGAAAGCCTCAAACTCACTCTTCTTCATAGGTGTTATCAGTGTAAAGTCCCATTCGTCATGTGACAATATCAGAATCCCCTGAGCAATATAATTGTGCCATTTCATCTTTTTGACATCTAAATCTTTTTAAAAAATATTTATTTTTTAGTTGTAGTTGGACATAATACCTTTATTTTGTTTATTTGTTTTTATGTGGTGCTGAGAATTGAACCCAGGGCCTCTCACATGCTAGGCAAGCACTTTACCGCTGAGCCACAACCATAGCCCCTATTGACATTCTAAATCTTAGATTTCTTTTAGCCAAGACTGGACACCTAACTTGATTTTTCCTGGATGCCCAGGGCCGGAGCATAAGACTGAACACCTGCAATTAAAAAAAAAAAATTTAGTTTTATTTATATGCTGTGTTGAGAACTGAATCCAGTGCCTCACTCATGCTAGGCAAGTGCTCTACCACTGAGCTACAACCCCAGCCCCAAGCACCTGCATTTTTAACTTACATTTAAAATTTAAATGAATTCTCTGTCACTTGTTAAATTCCCACAGAGCTCTTGGTCTGTTTCTGCAGTTACTCTTTGTCGGATTTGTCTATCCTGTCCCAAATACAGGGACAGGATAGTTCCTGAAACTTCCTGTGGTCTTTTGTGTACTGGAGGAGGGCTCCTTTAGTATTCTGTTTTTTAAAAATAGGTTTGCTGTTTTTAAGCATTTTTTGCAGGGAGGGAAGCTAAAGCAGTGGTTGAGCAGAGATATTTTTTAATCTTGAAAAATTAAGAAAAAAATGTAAGGTTAATATATGAAGAGACCCAGGCTGAGGGTATGGCTCAGTGGTAGAGCACTTACCTCCTATATGATGGGTGAGGCCCTAGGGTTCAATCCCCAGCACTTAAAACAAAACAAACAAAAAAACCAAGAGACGTTATTCCTGTTACTCACAATGAATAAATGTTAAGTAAATGTTAACATTTTGTCATGTTGCTTTCAGAAATTTTGACAACATGAATAATACCACGGAAGACCTCCGCAATAAGTATTTTGTGTGTTTTGACTCAGTAGCATTCTAAGAGGTAGAATACTCCCAGGGTTCCCATTTTGCAAATTAAGAAATTAAGGCTCAGAGAGGGAATGTAATTTGCATAAGGTCACAAAGCTGGCATGTGCCAGGGCTGGGATTCAAACCCTAGCATGCTGCCTCAGGAGCTGTACACTTAGCCCACACTAGTCCCCTCAATGGACATACACCATGTTTTCTTTTCCTTTCCACATTCTCCTTCTTTCCCAGAGACACATCTGCGAATTTGATATTTTCCTGCCCATGTTTTTAATATTTTAATTGCATTTGTACATATCTATAAGCCATCTGTAGAAATGGTAAAGATCGGGTCCATTCATCCCAGCCCCTATAGACAGGGTGACTGTCTTATCTTTTTGTTGTCATAAACAATGACGCCACTGTCATCTTTTTGTTCAGTCTGCTCTGGTCAACGAGTGTCCTGTTTGCTGGTGGATTTGCACAGAAGCAGAGATGGCCCAGTGCCACTCCACGCTCCCACCTGCTTCTTTCTTCTCTGCATCCTGGTCTTTCAATGTGAAACGCCTTGAAACCTTTGTGACACGTTTAAGCAAGCGTTCACTGATGAGATGGCTGTGCATAGAGGTTTTGGTGTTGTTTTTTTTTTTTTAACTTAAAAAAATTGTTTAGTTTAGTTGGACACAATACCTTTATCTTATTTATTTATTTATTTTTTACATGGTGCTGAGAATCGAACCAAGGACCTCGCACGTGCTAGGTGAGCACCCTGCCACTGAGCACAACCCCAGCTGTTGGTGTTTATGTTTCAATTTTCATTTTTTCTGATTAGTTCCTATGAGCCCATTTCAGTTTACTTTCTTCTCGCTCCTGTGAATGGCTGTCCCATCCTCCAGGTTGCTGTCCATGGAGTGCTCTGTTTGTTTCTTATTGCTGTCCAGGAGTTCACAGCAGGGTCAGTTACGCTCTTGAAAATTTATCTGGGCTTTTTGCTTTTAATTTTCATGAAAGTGGCATCTGTATGAATGAAAATATAGGTAAAATTGCCCACCTTTTCCTTTTCAAAATTTGTTCTTTTTATTTTTGGGGACTGGGGACTGAAGTCAGAGGCACTTGACCACTGAGCCACATCCCAGCCCTATTTTGTATTTTATTTAGAGACAGGGTCTCACTGAGTTGCTGAGCACCTCTCTTTTGCTGAGGGTGGCTTTGAACTCTTGATTCTCCTGCCTCAGCCTCCTTAGCACTGGGATTACAGGTGTGTACCATTGCACCTGATCAAATTTGTTCCTTTTCTTTTTATTTATTTATTGGTACCAGGGATTGAACTCAGGGGCACTCAATTATTGAGACATATCCCCAGCCCTATTTTTGTATTTTATTTAGAGATATGGTCTCACTGAGTTGCTAAGTACCTTGCCATTGCTGAGGCTACCTTTAAACTTGTGATCTTCCTGTCTCAGCCTCCTGAGTCATGTGGATTACAGGTGTGCACCACCATACCCAGCTTAAATTTGTTCTTTTTAGATATACATGACAACAGAGTGTATTTTGACATCTTATACATACATGGAGTATGACTTCCCATTCTTGTAGTTGTCCACGATGTGGAGTTACACTGGTCGTGTTTTCTAGGAGGCTTAGCACACCTTTCACCTTGTACTACCCTTTGTGGGGGAGAGAAAAGATCATTTTAAAAATCCTCACTACAGACCTTTTCCTTTTTGATCTTTGCCTTTTGTGACTTAAACCCTTATTTCCATTCCACAAATCTATCCTCTTACCCTTTCTTCTAATTAGTAAAAATTAAAAATTTTAAATTCAGGTTTTTATTCATGGTGATGGGGGGGGTGGTGAGTCCCATTCAGCATCTGTGGGTCCTTCTTCTGTTTCCTCTTGCTGCAGCTTTAATTTTTACCTCTCATTATATATATTGATGATTAGAATTGTGCTCTCATTTATTTCCTCATTCTTCTTCCCAGTGCCTCTTTATTTTGTTCCAATTTTTTTTTTTTTTTTGTGGTTCCTCTCCTTAAATAGGAGTCTCCATTGCCTCAAGGTGGGGGAGACCTTAATTTGTCCTGCGAATAGCTTGTGCAGCACACACACACTCTCTGTCATCAACTCTTTGTGGTCCCTGCCAGACTTTCCTGTGACCCCTTTGCTGGTGCCAGTCCTCTCGACAGGAATATCCTTCAGATACCAGAGCCCCTTTGACTTTCATGACTACTCAGATGTGATTTCCTGTGCAGCTGAATCTGATATCAGTTCATCAAATTTCATTGCTGGCTCAGAAATAATGAAAGCATATTTTTCATTGTAATCTTCTCTGCTGCTGTCTTTGTGGTTCATCTCATCCCAGCACACTCTGGGCACCTTTAGATCACGGCAGTGCTGTGTTCCACCTCTCAGCGCCAAACTCCAGTGGAACACCATAGCTTATCAGGACCACTGGAGGAGGGAATGGAGACCCTTTTTTGGGGGGGTGATACTGGGGTTGACTCAGGGGCACCCAACCATTGAGCCACACCCCCAGCCCTATTTTGCATTTTATTTAGAGACAGGGTCTCACCGAGTTGCTTAGCACTTCGTTTTTGCTGAGGCTGGTTTTGAATTTGCGATCCTCCTGCCTCAGCCTCCTGAGCCTTTGGGATTACAGGCATGTGCCACCACGCCCAGCCCATAGTGAGAACTTTTTAAATGATCTTTTCTCTCCCCCACAAAGGGTAGTTCAAGGTGAGGGGTGTGCTAAGCCTCCTAGATAAGGTAACCTGGGGAAACTTGGCCTGTGACCAAGTGAGATCAACCTCCCTCGCCTTTGCAGCCTATACTCAGTGCTGACCACTCCATGTTAACCGGGCACATGCTGTTCCAGGGGTCACTGTCGTTTGGGGATGTGGCTGTGGGCTTCACACGGAAGGAGTGGCAGTGGTTGGACCCTGCGCAGAGGATCCTGTACCGGGAGGTGATGCTGGAGACCTACAGCCACCTGGTCTCTGTGGGTGAGGAAGGCTTTCCCTGGTCTTCACATTATGTCTGAGCACCTTTCCTTTCCCAGTTATGTGAAACAGTAAACCCCCTGAGTGCTTGGCCTTGGGCTTTGGTAGAGTGTCTTGACCTTACTGTGTGTCCAGTCAGCCTGCTGTATCTGCAGAGTCAAGCAACCATGGATGTTGAAGGGGTACAGACTTTTCCGCTTGTCATTATTCCCTAAATAATACAACAGCTACTTATGTGGCATTAGGTATTATAAGTCACCTAGCAATGATTCAAAGTACATAGGATGTAAGTTATATGTAAATGCTATGCCATTTTATATAAGGGACTGGAAAATCAGGGATTTGGGTATCTCAAGGGGATGTCCTGAGCCAATTTCTTGCAGCTAGACACCAAGGGATGACTGTGATTTGAAGTCACCTCCCAAGTGGAATGTCTATTCTTTGGCTGAGAAGTCAGTGTTTAGTGGGTGGCCCGAACCGTTTGCTTGCTGAGTAGCTCCACGTAACTCAGCACAGATCCTGTAACTATGTCTCTTAAGCAGGGTGTCAAGTCAACAAACCAGCTGTGATCTCCAGGCTGGAGCAGGGGACAGAGCCATGGGCGGGGAAGGAGGAGATGCGCAGGTGGAAATCTCCAGGTGAGGAGACAGCCTGCAGGGGGACCCTGGGAGTTGGGCTCCAGGCGGTTACAAAGCAGAGCCTTTGTTTTCTTTTCCCAGGTAAATGTTCTTACAAGTCTTGGGTCATTGCAAGCAGTGGACATTTGACCTGAGACCTCAAGATGCCCAAATGATCCCTGCTACCTGCACCCCACTGCATGACTCCTTTCCTTTCCCTAGATTTTAAAGAGACACCACCTCTGTTTTTGTGCATCCTTTTATTCTGCCATGAAAACTCGCTTGCTCAGTCTTTCTCTGGAATCTTCAGTCTTGTGCTTTCCCCTGAGGTTATAAAATAAACTTTCTCATGTGTTTAGGGATTCAGGTAGGCTCTGTATTAAAATAACTATTGTCGTGTGCCACGCTTCTGTGAATCTTTCTGTGAAATGCTTCAAAACTTATTTGCTGCATCTGTATTTGTTCCCACCCTGTCCTTAATACCTGCAAGCAGGTGAAAGCCGTTCCTGTGCTTCAGGGTAAACTGATGACTCTGTCACCACCGTCTCCCTCAGTGTTCACCTGTATGAGGCATATGTTCATGTTTATTACCTGTTTCTGCAATAGAAAATTAAGTGACAGGGCTATTCAGAGCTATTGTTCTAATGCCTTACACTTCTTTGGGGGAAGTGGGGCTTTTCCTACTCTGCTTCTAGCTCATAACTTGGTACCAAGGAGTTTCTGAGTCTTAGTTTGCTGGTTTTCTGTTTTTGATCCTCTAAGTCCTGCCCCCACCACATGATCTCCTTCCACCTTTTCTATTTCTTCTCACACCATTCTCAAACATCATAAGCTTGCACTGTCTAATTACTAGTTGGCTTTTCTGATTCCATTTCTGGTTTGAGTTGACCTTAGAAGTTAATGCCACTCTTTGTTAATGTGCCTAGTTACTCTGGTACCCTTTTTGAGATGATGCTTACATTCCTCTTCCTTCAAAACTGTGTGACATGGCCCCATTCTACCTAAGAAATTATAATTGCAGCTTTTCCTGGACACCTCAGTCTTATCCTTTGGGGACAAGAGCCTTTATTTGTCCTTATTTCTATAGGAAGCTGGTGGTGGATAGTTGTGGAATCCCTCATTCTTTTAGGAAAGGAATTTTGTCAAAGATTTGTTCAGAGAAGTTGTTATTAATCTGGAATCCACACGGGAATCCTCTTGGAAGCTTTAAAAACACCCCTGGTTGTGCCCTACCCTGGAAACTTCTCATGGGGACATCAGCAATCCATGATCTTTACCTCTTAGGGATTCAGCAGCTGGGCTCTGAAACTTCACGACCTCCGAACAGAAGAGTGACATCTTTGCAGTGCACATTGGTGCCGGGGTGAAGCGGCAGGTAGAGTCTGTGGTTTAAACAGGTAAAAGAAAAAACAAGCTTGTAAGGGTTTAAACACAGGATGAAGAACCTGACACTGAAGATTCTTAAAGCCCTTCTTTAAACACCTCCTCTCTCCATTCCCCAGGTACCCTAGTGTGCCTTTCATCTTGCCTTATATTTCCTAGTACCCTTATCTCCTTGGGCCCCCCTCACCTGGGGGAAGCTAAAGCCTGGGGGCATTGGCTTGTCATAGCGCATCATGACTAAATCTCAGCTCCTCATTTGGTGATGTCCTCAGGACATGCTGGAAACACTCTCCCACAAGGCCAGTTTCTAACCATGGAAATGGGTGGACGCTACAGATCCTGTTTCCCTGTGGCACCCGTCAGTCAGCACCTCAAGCCTGCAGTGTTTCTCTCTTGCTCACTCTTGTGTCTGCATCCTCTTGCCAATCTGCCAAGTCAGACTCATTCAGAGCAAAGTATTGTGGCCATTTCATACCTATTTTACAGTATCTCGCTTTTTCTTTTCAAAAGCCAAGGGACTAGAAAGTGTTTATAGATTTATTTTTTTTAGTCTAGGCAACTAGGCTTAAAACCACAAAATTTGACCTGAGACCTCGAAATGCCCAAATGATCCCAGACGTTGCTGCAATAACTATGATACCTGGAAAGATGAGAAGTTTTTTGTTTTGCCTTTCCTAGAACTTTGGCAAGTTGACGCCCAAGCAGACAGACGACAGGAACACCAAAACAGACGTTTGGGGCAAGTTGCCGTCCCAGATGGGAAAAAGTTAATCACCAAAGGGCTCCATGAATGTATTGAACTTGGAAAAAAACACTCCCCGAACTCACCCCTGGTCCCCTCAAGACAGCAGCCCCACACGTGTGACTCATGTGGAAAGAGACTTCAGCAAAGCGTGGAGTTCAGTCCCAGTGCGTACCTGGCACGGAGGAGGTTTGAGTGCGATGGTCAAGGGAACTTGTTTCTCTACTCCAAGCTGGAGACTCCGCACCCTGCGGAGAGTCCGTGGGCTTGCACCCAGTGTCGAAAAGCCTTAAGCCGGGACGCAGCCGTGGGTGCAGATCAGGGGACCCACGGTGAGAAGCCCCATGAATGCACCAGGTGCGGGAAAGCCTTCTCCCGCAGGGCGCAGCTCATCGTCCATCACCGGGTGCACCGAGGGGAGAGATCCCACAGGGACAGTGGCTCAGGGAGTGGTTTCAAGGAGAGGGCTGTCTTTTGCAAGGGGGAACAGCACACCAAAGAGAAACCGAGAGGAGATCGCCGTCGTCGTGGCCCAAGGGTGTCCCGGAAAGGAGGTCTCTTCGCGCCCCATATGGCGCATTCTGAGGAGAGGCCATACAAATGCTCGGATTGTGAGAAAACCTTCTCGCACAAGTCCCGCCTGGTGGAGCACCACCGCTCCCACACCGGGGAGAAGCCCTACGGCTGCAGCGAGTGCGGCAAGACCTTCTCCCGCAAGTCCTGCCTCATCATCCACCACCGCATCCACACCGGGGAGAAGCCCTACGGCTGCGGCGAGTGTGGCAAGGCCTTCTTCCAGAAGTCGCACCTCATCCTGCATCTGAGGACACACACCGGGGAGAAGCCCTACAGTTGCAGCGACTGCGGCAAGGCCTTCTCGCAGAACTCCTGCCTCATCATCCACAAGCGCACGCACCTGGGCAAGAAGCCCTACCAGTGCCCGGAGTGCGGCAAGAGCTTCTCCCAGAAGGCCAACCTCCTCCGCCACCACAGGATCCACACCAGGGAGAAACTGCACGGGTGATAGGGTGACACGAGAGCAGCCCCTCTGGGGAGGGGCTGTGTGGGTGTGGAGCAGCTCTGGAGCTGCAGGGACCCAGGCAACTCAGGTCTGCGGCTCTGCTGAGTCAGGAGGGACACAGAGGAAGGGCTGAGAGGCCTTAGAGTGAGATATATATATATATATATATATATATATTATAGGATAAGCATAATGATAATGGGCATCTATGTTAACTAGGGATATTAAGCATTATAATATGGAAACAAGTTAAATCACTAAAACAGCAAATCTCAAAAAGTGTCCGAACAATTCTAGAGCTTCATGGGGTTATGTGCCTGAGTGTGCTACCTACAGAGTATTTATTTTTGAGTTACATTGGTAGAAACAATTTTGAATTTATAGACACATAATATAAAGAGTATATATCCAAGACTTACTATATTAAGCTACACCATCTGTCTTTGTAATATGTATTATAACTGACATATGAATTTATTCACCAGAAGTTCATATATAGTAACCACCTACCATTTGTCCTGTTGTTCAAAGTATGATAGAACTCCTGAATCTGAAAGCTAACAATTTCAGGACATTTTCTGCTTTCTCTCAACCAACTAGTCAAAAGTTATAAATTAAATGTGTAAGGTTAGGGCTTCTTTTCTGGCATTTTTTGGACTGCCTAACATAAAAACCCTTCCGCTGTAGACATCTAGAAATGATGGACAATATAAAATTAATATTCTCTGCTGAGAGCCATAGCCAAGTAGGAATGACGCATGGCATTTTTGGTTGAAAGGTGACCCTGCTCAGGGATTAGGGTGGCTCCAGGTTTAGGGTGGATCCTGCTGGATTAGGGTGGCTCCAGGTTTAGGGTGGATCCTGCTGGGAATAGGGCGTATCCTGCTGCCTCAGGCGCCCACTCCTTGATTTCCCCTTGAGTTCTTGCGGGGTTCTGAGAGAATTTGTACGCAGAGCCCGGTAGAGGGAGTGTATTTTTCCCAGAACGTGCATGTAGAGTGCCGGTGAGAGTTCGGGAATAAAGAGTTGCTGTTTGAATCTACAAGGCTTTGGTGGTGGCTCGGTTATTTTGTGCCCAGACAGACTGCGGCAATTCTCTTAAATGCATAATCCAGCTCTCAAGAAACTAAGTTTTCCAGATGCCAGCTATGTGGAAGGATCTGAAAACCGGAAATACAGTTTCTGAGTTGATACCATAGCTACTACTGTGGGTCTGGTTTTTGTATGTCCAGAACTTGTATGTCAAAGTCTATAGGAAGATGAGGCTTGCGGGTGGGGGTATACAGGGCAGAGCCTGCATGGAGATAATTCAAATGCAGGAATTTCAGAAGTCTGAACAGCTGGAAAAGGTAGGACCCAGAATTCTTGTTGAGCCATGAACACCAAACTGCATCTCATCTGAGCTAGTTTTGAATTTGTTCTGTTCATGCCTTAGTTGAAACAGAACAATTAACATGGAAGATTGGCTGTGGTCTTTGAAGGAGCTTATAGAAGAAGGCACCCTTGACTCTAGATTCCAAGCTGTGGTCTTGTGCACGGGCAGTAAGTGCAGGGTGTCGCTGTACTTTCCTCTCAGTTGTGCTGCGAACCTAACACTGCTTTAAAAATAAACTCTTAAAAGAAAAAAAAAATTAACTATCCCAATATCCCTTGGGAGAGATTGTTTCCCTTGAGCTGTAGGACTTGGGGAAGGACCCTGGGGCTGTGGGACAGGAGTTCCACAGGGGTCAGGTCCCAGGGAGGCATAAGACAAAGCTGGGGATGGTAGGGAACAGACCCTCTTCCCCAGACTTCTGAAGTCATTGAGCTTAAAGCTCCCTCTTGCTAGCTGATACCAGTTTCCCCTGTCAATTTGCAGATGTATTTTCTTCAGCCAGTCGGTAGGAGGTGCAATTGACCTAAGTCCCTTCCGCTTCTAAGTTTTCTGATTCCAAGTGGGCCCTTGGGGGATAATTAGGCTAAAGGTAGTCCTTAGTAATATCTTAAGGAAAAGGAATCTGGCATCTTGGTCTTGGTGGTGCAATTAGGACTATCAGGTTTTCTGAATGTAATTATTTATACCAAGTTACGAAAATGTTACTTTCAAAGCTCCTTGGCATTGGTACACGGGGTCCTCATACGAACACTAACAATCCTAGAAAAAGACTCCAGAGAAGGTGTAAGCTAGATTCTCTTGACCTTGGTAGGATTCAGGAGCCTAATATATGAGACCCCTAAACAACACAGATTTGCTATGGTTTATTCCTCTATCAACTGTTAAGAACCACCAAGTTCAGGGATCTTACAACATAAGAATAGGGCCTGAAAAATCTGACCTTAAAAATTTCAGTCTAATTGTGGGTAGTTGGGTAGGTGGGAACTGAGGTAGATGCTAAAATTAATTTTAAAGCGACAATAATAATAACTGAGAGGAAGAAAGGAAAGGTACCCAGAGCTTCACAGGAAAAATGGTACTTGGGATGATTCTTGCATTATACAGAGATTTTCACAGGAGAAAAGAGTACATATGCCAGGGACATAAGACAGCAGAACAGAGGCATAAAAGTGTGTGGAGGCTGGCCTCGTCTTGTAAATAACTGGAATCAGCTGAAGTTTATTTTATACACTAAGGTACACAGATCTCCAGTGTCTTGATAGAAGTCTGCACATGGACATACCTGTAAGATTAGCACCCCCCCAAAAGCTACAGAATATTTTCAGTGCCAGGCAGTCTTTCCCCCACCCCTGCCAACCCAAGTCACCACTCTGGGACACTGAACACCAAACACCATGGATTAGTTTGTCATTGCCCTTTGGATGGAACCACGTCGAATGTACTCTTTTTTTTTTAAAAAAAATACATTTATTTATTTACTTTTATGTGATGCTGAGGATCAAATGCAGCGTCTCACATGTGCTAGGCGAGCGCTCTACCATGGAGCCACACCCCCAGCCCTGTACTCTTTTTTTTTAACCTTTATCTTATTATGGTTTTTAAAAAATATTTATTTTTTTGTACACAATACATTTATTGTTTATTTACTTTTATGTGGTGCTGAGGATCGAACCCATGGCCTCGCATGTGCTAGGCAAGCACTCTACTGCTGAGCCACAACCCCAGTCCCCTGTCTTGCTTCTTAAATATCATATTGCAGCTGTTTTTGTTTTGCTGGTAGCAGTTCATTTTTTTTCATTATTGTATAGTATTCAGTTGTTTGAATATGCCACAAGTAGTTTATAACTAGTGAACATTTCTAGTTTTTTCTTTTTTAAATATTTATTTTTTTAGTTGTAGTTGGACATAACACCTTTATTTATTTTTATGTGGTGCTGAGGATCGAACCCAGGGCCTCGCATGTGCTAGATGAGCGCTCTACCACTGAGCCACAACCCCAGCCCTCTAGTTTTTTCTTCTATTATCAAGAATCCTTCTGTGAACTTCATATATATCAGTACCTGTTTCTCTTCCAAAGATACTGTGTAGCCAGAGTTTCGAGCAGTTGTTTTCAACCAGGAGTGACTTTGCCCCTCAGGGTCCTTTGATAGTGTCCAATGACTTTTTTTTTGGGGGGGGTGCATACCAGGGATTGAACTCAGGGGCATTTGACCACTGAGCCACGTCCCCAGCCCTACTTTGTATTTTATTTAGAGACAGAGTGTCACTGAGTTGCTTAGTGCTTCGCTTTTGCTGAGGCTGGCTTTGAACTCTCAATCCTCCTGCCTCAGCCTCCCGAGCCGCTGGGATTACAGCCGCTGGGATTACAGCCGCTGCACCCAGCTCTAATTTTTGATTGTCACATCTGAAGAGGAGGGGGAAGCTCCTGACAGTTAATGGGTAGAGACCAGGGTGCTGCTGTGCATCTTGCACTGTCAGGAGATCTCTCCACAAGGAGGAATTCACCAGCTCTCAAACTGTCAACCAGAGTGGAGTCTGGTTTTAGAGGTCTTTAGGTGCTAGACACAGGTTCATGTCCAGTAGGCATTGGGGAGCCATAGATGGCTCTGGAAGGGTGAGATTTCCATCAGGGGGGCACATTTCAGGACCAACACCACCTGGCCTCCAGCTTTAGGTGAACTCAGTTTGGTGGGTCATCCCTGGGGTCCTCTGACTGACCACCCGCTGCAGGGCACCTTGCATGTCCCGGTTGCGCAGCGTGTAGATGGCCGGATACAGCAGTGGGGTGAGGTTGATGTAGATGAGCGAGACCAGCTTGTCCTCCTCCAGGGACCGGCTGCTCAGGGGTCGGGCATACATGGCCGTGGCACAGCCGTAGTGGAGCACAGCCACCGTGAGGTGGGACGCTACGGTGTTGAAGGCCTTGCGGCGGCCTGCGGCTCCCCCAACCCCCAGGATGACCACCAGCACTCTGGTGTAGGACAGCAGGATCAGGACTAGGGGCAGCACCAGCAGCAGCAGGCAGGCCACCAGCAGCACATGCTCTTGCAGGTCCCGGTTCCCACAGGCCAGCACCAGCACCGCGGGGAGGTCACAGAAGACATGGTTGACCAGGCCGCCATGGCAGAAGGGCAGCTGGAATATGGCTGTGGTGAGGCCTAGGGCAAGGACCGAGCCACCGACACAGCAGGAGGCCAGGAGACCCCAGCAGAGTCCTGTGGTCATGAGCTGAGGGTAGTAGAGGGGGCGGCAGATGGCCAAGTAGCGGTCCAGGGCCATGGCTGCCAGCAGCAGGCACTCAGAACCGCCCAGGGCCACAAAAAGGCCCATCTGGGCAGCACAGGTTGAGGGGGCCACAGCCTGGCCCCCGGGTGGCAGGAGGAAGCCAGCCAGCATGCGCGGGGTCAGCACCAGCGTGTAGGCCACTTCCACAGCGGACAGCGCACCCAGAAAGAAGTACATAGGTGTGTGCAGGGCGGGCTCCACCAGGGCCAGGACCAGGATGAGCAGGTTCCCTGCCAGGGTGGCCAGGTAGAGCGGCAGCAGGAGAGCAAAGAGCAGCACCCGAAGGCCCTGGGGCCACCCGGAGAAGCCCAGGATTACAAACTCCTGCGGGGCAGTCCAGCTG